CTCCAGCAACCCTCAGTTTGTTTCCTGAGATTAAGAATTCCTCTTATCAGTGAGATCATATGATACATGTCTTTCTCTGTTTGACTTATTTTGCTCAGCATAACACCCTCCAGTTCCATCCATGTCGTTGCGAATCAGCCTGGATTCTTAGATCCTTAAACATCCCAGGGTTTAGGCAGTTTCTGTCCCTTCCATGTCCAAAGCAGATCATGATTCTGTTCATTTATTGCAACTTCATCAGTGCCTTGGGAATCCAAGTAAGAGCTGCTTACCCAGTCTTCTATTTTAGCACCCTTTGGGAAAACTTCTCCACATGGTAAAGAAACTGTTAGAAAAGTAAAGTATAGATTTCCCATTTAAAACCTACAACAACACTAGTCTTTCCTTTCCTCTAGTGAGCCAGGCCTGTTCCTACCTGAAGGTTTTGGTTCCTACCTCTTCTGTCTGAAATGCTTTTCTCCCAGACCTTCAGTATATCTGTCTTCTTCTTGCCATTCACACCTCACCTTCCAAGTATCCTCTTCAGATAAGCTTCCTATTACCACCAGTCTAAAGGAATTTGAAAATTACTCTCTCCCTCCTTGTTCTGTTGTATTGTTGGAGTACATCGGTGCTACCTAGTATTGTTTGGTTGCTTATTCATTTGTTATTTTATCTTTTCCCACTAGAGTGTAATCTCCCTTAAAGCAACGTCTCTGACTGTTTTGTTAACGACTTATGTCCTTAACACCTGTAGCAGGACCTGGCCCATAGTATGCACTCAGTTGCTGTTAGTTGAATTAATATCTGATATCAGAAATGATTCTGTAACTTGTCTTTGGCAGAATGATAGGATTAGACATCTAGGATGTGTCCAAGTCCCATTGTAATTTAATATGTTTATGAGATTAAAATTTTGAATGATTTGTGTACAAAAAGTACTAAAAATCATATATCACAGTTCAGTGAAACTTCCACACAATGACCATGCTCCTTTAGCCAACGTCTTAATCGAGAAACAGGACATCGCCAGTGCCATTGCCTTCCGGTTGTGACCATATCTCAACACCCCACCACCCCAGCTCTTGCGTGAACACTAGCATCTTAGCATCCAGATCAGTTCTGTCTGTTTCTGTAAAACTGGAATCATGCAGCATATACTCCTCAGTCTCTAGGTTCTTTGATTTAATGTTCTGTTAGAGAGATTCATCTACGTGGTTACGTAAGTTAGAGAGCATTTATTCTCAGTGCTATATAGTATGCTACTCTGATCATAATACTTCCCTGGGTGGTCCTGTGGGTCCTCTGGGGTGATTATGAATAATGCTGCTAGAGCTTTGGGTAGATAGTTGATGTATTTATGTTGAGTGGATACGTACGAGTAGGTAGGATATTCATTTCTTCACCATTTGTTCATCCTTAGTGAATGCCAAATAACATTCCAAGTGAGTTTTTCTTAATAAATTTTGAATTCTACATCAGAAAACTGTACGTGAACTTACAGTTTAATGAATGGTCATATATTGAACCTTTGTAACTATCTCCAAATCGATAGAGTATTACCAGCCTTCCAGAAGTGCGTCCCCTACTCCTTCATGCATATGACCCAACACTGCCCCATTCCATGCCAAGGGTAACCACTTTTCTGATTCTATAAGCTCTTGTTTTCAATATTAATTTTACAGAGTTTTCTGGAGAATATGTACTAATGCTTTAGCTTGCAGTGAATCTTGGTGATTCTTCTTTTTTTTTTTTTTGTCTTTTCAAGTTTTTATTTAAATTCAAGTTAGTTAACATATAGTGCAGTTTTGGTTTCTGGAGTAGAATTCAGTGATTCATCACTAATATATGACACCCAGGGCTCATCACAGCACGTGCCCCCCTTAATGTCCATCCCCCATGTAGCCCATCCCCCACCCACCTGCCTCTGTTCACCCTGTTTGTTCCCTATTGTTGAAAGTCTTATGGATTGCTTGCTTCTCTCTCTCCTTTTTTTCTTTTCTTTCCCCCTTCCCCTATGTTCATCTGTTTTGTTTTTTAAGTTCCACATATGAGTGAGATCACACGGTATTTATCTTTCTCTGACCAACTTATTTCCTATAGCATTATGCACTCTAGCTCCATCTACGTCTTTGGAAATGGCAAGATTTCCTTCTTTTTGATGGCCGAGTAACATTCCATTGTATATGCCTTTTTAAGATGAAGAATCCCAAGCAGGGAGTTGGAATGATTTGTCATTGTGCTTGAAGCTTATGACCACATTAATACCATCACGTTACTTTATGCCCCACACCATTGAATTGATGTGAATAAGAAGCCAGTGCCTCAAAGTGATGGTGAATCTCATGGTCAAAATCTAACTGTATAAACTCAGGATTATAGAATTTCTTGATAATGGGGACTTCCACATGTACGGAATTAAATGCAAAAAAGAGAAAAAGTTCTAATTATAGGGGTGAGTTGGTATAGAAATTACATAGCTCCTAAGACCTGGAGTACATGTATAACCTTGATGCCCGAGCTTCCTGATCTGTAAAATGTGAATAGTAGCAGATGCTGTATCCATAGGTTCGATTTTGGGGCAATTTGATTAAGAAAAGCCACAGGAAACATTTAACATTCAGTTCAGTGAATATATTGAGTAAGCTAGCAGTGATTGTTGACTGTTACTGCTGTTGCTATAATTTCAGTTCTGTTTTTCTTTAATCCTAAACAAAATGAAACTTATTCGGAGAACAGTGGGTATAAGATCTTAAAAATTCTATAAAATATTTTACATAATAGCTATTTGTATTTTATAAGTTGAAAGGTACATCAGTGTTTCTGTATGCCCTGGTGACCTACCTGTGAATGAATGAGCTATCCATTACTATTACATCATTAGTGGAGATCGAGGCAGAGCTAGGATGTGGAGTCCTGGTGAAGTCCGTTGTGATGGCTCCTTGGCCGCTGTTGATGATTACGAGGTCGGCAGGAAGCAGCTTTTTTTTTTTTTTTTTTTTAAAGATTTTATTTATTTATCTGACAGAGAGAGAGACAGCGAGAGCAGGAACACAAGCAGGGGGAGTGGGAGAGGGAGAAGCAGGCTTCCCGCTGAGCAGAGAGCCCGATGCGGGGCTCGATCCCAGGACCCTGGGATCATGACCTGAGCCGAAGGCAGACGCTTAACGACTGAGCCACCCAGGCGCCCCGATTTTATCTTTTTTTTAATTTAAAGATTTTATTTATTTATTTGACAGAGAGAGACACAGTGAGAGAGGGAACACAAGCAGGGGGAGTGGGAGAGGGAGAAGCAGGCTTCCCGCTGAGCAGGGAGCCCGATGCGGGGCTCGATCCCAGGACCCTGGGATCATGACCTGAGCCGAAGGCAGACGCCTAACGACTGAGCCCCCCAGGCGCCCCGGAAGCAGCTTTAGTGAGTCTTCCCTGCTGCAGCTGCCCTTAGTCTGCCCTCAGGCTTTGTGCTCATCTCCGAATTGTGTAGTAACCGGTAACGAAACCAGCGGTGCTGGTGGTGTGCTCGGTAGCCAGAGTTAAGTACAGCCGTGTCCCGTATTTACCGCAGACCTGAGATTAGTCTTACGGTTTAAAATTACCACGGAAGTGTGATTAAGAGGATGCTCTTGCTGCAAAATGAAATACTAACTTTAAAGTGTCATTGTGGTGTTTTATACTACATTTCTCTTTTAGAATAGAAACTGGACATTGGCTGTTAAAATCATGACATTACAAGACTGTGATGTGTGAAGTTATTTTGTAGAGTTTCCTTATTCAGATTATGGTGACGAACTGAGGTTTTCATCATTGTATAATATTAGGTTTTGCATATATTCTAAGGAATTTCCCATTTAAGGAGGTGGTGTTGTGTGACAGATAAGAGTATGGTTTCAGAGCGCCTCATTCTGGTTCAGAGCTGTGGGATTGTGTGATTTTCTGATTAGGGTCACTCATCCTCCCTGTTCCTCAATTTCTTCATTGGTATAACTGGGTAATTTTAATACTTCTATGTTAGAAGGCTTAAGTGAGTTGATACATGGAAAAATGGGGAATTTTACTTGATTAAATAATCTCAATAAATATTAGCCATTCTGTGATTATATTAATGTTTATCATTATTAATAAGAATTAATGAATTTTACATTCCTATTAATGAGCCTTTTAAGGAATGATTTAACTTAGGTAAATGTATATTGTATCCTATAAATATATGTGGAGCCAAGAATTTAATTAATATTTTAGAATAATTTAGAATATTTTTAGAATATTTCTAATATCTTAGAGATAAAGCTAATAAAAGTATGTTTTAAAATTATAGGTACCAAAGATGTGCAGTGGGAATTTTTACATGGTTTACTTGAAAATGCTGTTTATGGTGGACGCATAGATAACTATTTTGACCTTAGAGTTCTTCAGTCATATCTGAAACAGTTTTTTAATTCTTCAATAACTGATGTTTTAAACCAAAGGAATAAGAAAAGTGTTTTTCCGTATTCCTTATCTCTACCAAAATCCTGCAGCATTCTGGTAGGTAAAATTCATCATTTTTAATCTATTACCAGATACTTGAATCCTTTCTTAAACTGTTAAATACATGTTTCTTTTCAAATGCACAAATAATTCTTATTAACAAATACAGATTATTGTTATGCCAATATGCGGCCGGATTCTGTGAACTCTAGTGAAGTGTGTTGTCCATCCTTGGATATTTAGGGACTGCTTGTGATAATAGGATAGAGTTTCCGGTAAGGAAGACGTTAGAGTTAAGACTGAAGATCTGGAAGGAGAGTGCGTACTAGTTCCTAGTGGGCATGAGAGGGCTCGGGTATGTTATTGACCAGGAAAGAAATCAAATACTTAACACACGTATCTTCACTTTCTGGCTTATGAGTTGAAAGCAGAACCAACCGTAGGAGGGATACGCTCGAGGTGGCTTTGATGGCAACATTTCCGTGAACGTGTATTATAGCTGGCTGGAGCTTTTCGCCGTGAGTCATCCTATGAAAGCCTTGTGGAATGAGGTCATCTCTTCCAGAAAATAGTACTAAATAGGGGCGCCTGGGTGGCTCAGGCGTTAAGTGTCTGCCTTCGGCTCAGGTCATGATCCCGGGGTCCTAGGATCGAGCCCCATGTCGGGCTCCCTGCTCAGTGGGAAGCCTGCTTCTCCCACTCCCCCTGCTTGTGTTCCCTCTCTCACTGTGTCTCTCTCTGTCAAATAAATAAATAAAATCTTAAAAAAAAAAAAAGTACTAAATATAGCTGAAAGATTTCAATTCTAATTTATTTTCCCACAAACTTATCTTTGCTTAATGTCCAAATAATGCTTTTATTACCTAGAATATTATGATCATATATCTCTTCATGAATTACAGAGATACATATTCAGTTATATAGTTCTCTCAGGATTGTGGATTTTTCTCTCATCCCAAGTATTTTTTGAGAAAATTCTTCTGTTTCAGTGACATAGTTGTCAAAAGTCAAAGTATAAAAACCAACGTTAAATATGTTACTGAATATCTTGCCAGTTAAATGTATCCCATCTGTTTTGGTTTTCAGTATCTTTCGTTCATTCACTCATTTATTGAGTAGGAGCCCCTGTTTATCTGTCTGCCCCTGGTGGCCCTGCTCCAGACCGCGTGGGCACCGTGGGCATCTCTGGGGCTGACTTTCTAGCGGGAGGGCTTCCCACAACAAATAGACGCATCCCATGGCTATTCATGGTCCATTTATTTCATGTAGTGCACTGACATGTCTTCCCTCTCTCTGTGAGCTTTAAACTGAAAAATAAAACTCCTACGGAAAAGTGCACATCATAAATGTACTATGCAATGAATTTTTATACACTGAACACAGGAGTGTAACCAGCACTGAGATCCAGAAACACAACATGACTAGCTCCCCAGAAGTCCTCCTCGTGTTCTCTTCTAGTCATTGCCTACCCCACAAAGGGTACATCGTCTGGGCTTCTAATAGCCTGCTTCAGCTTTTTTTGTTTGTTTTTAAGGTTGATTTATTTGAGAGAGAGAATGCACATGAGTGGGGGGGAGGGACAGAGGAAGAGAGAGAATCTCGAGCAGAGTACCCGCTGAGCACGGAGCCCGATGTAGGGCTTGATCCCAGGACCGTGAGATCATGGCCTGAGCCAGAACAAGAGTCAGACGCTTAACCGATGGAGCCTCCCAGGTGCCACAGCCTGCATTAACTTGGCCTGTTTTTGAGCTTCATGTAGATGGTATCATTTGGTGTATATTTTTTTGCATCCAAGTGAGGACACAGCTGTTTTGAAATGAGCAAAGGGTATCAATAGAGAATCAGATTTATATTTGTAGGATGATTTATGACGATCAATGTTAAGTTTCTAACACAGTTGAGGAGGAGGCTGGAATTTCCCAGGAGGATGAGAACATCTGCTTTGTGCCCTATATCGTGTACGCACACGCGTGTACAAGCATGTACCCCAGGCTCATACACACATACCTACTGATGCATACACATACGTTACGATTGAACACCTTGAGGAAGTAACAAGTGCTGAGTTACAGGCTGGGAAAAATTTCAAAAACAGCATGTCTTTCCCAAATTTGACGTGTTTACAGGCCCTGGGCTTCCTGAAGTCCAGCCGCTGCATGGGGAGGGCTTCACGGACAGCGGCCAGGGATGAGAGGGGATGAGGGGAGGGGCAGCAACAGCGTAGACACGTATGCAGGACCCCCTCTGCAGGACAACAGCCAGACAAAACAGTTCTTACCCTGGAGTCCAAGTGGATAAACCCTCTTGGTCTGCGCTCCAGTTTCCCATCTAGAGTTTAGAGTCCGTAACTGCAGACGCTGGCTCGATACATGACCCTTTGCGATGTGTACAGCAATTCTGGGAGGAAACGATCCGGTGGTCAGTGCGTCTCCCTACACCTCACTGGAGCACTGAAGTCGCACCGTGAAATTGCTTCATGTCATGTGATTGACAAAGCCGTGCTTGCTCACCAGAGCGTGTGCATAGAGGTTCCTGGGGTTCCTGTAAGTTTCAGACGATAGCTGGAATATTTTTCTTGGAATAAGCACAACTGCAGTCTGCAGATGAGTCTTGGGTAGGTTCGGGGCTTTCCTAAAAACATCTCACACGATCTCTTACACATAGGAGCCCTGGCCACCAAAGTATTTCTGTTTTAATTAATGCAGTGTTCCTTTGAATGTGGTGAGTTACATTATGTGATACTGAATTTTTTAAATTTAGGGATGAAGAAGTAGTAATGACCAAGACTATTTTCTGTAGACAACTAAGTATTACATAGACTGAACGTTAGATTTCCCTAGAAAATGTGAACATATGAGTAACTAATAATTTAATACTTCCCAATGTCTCTCTCATTTCAGTGGTTGTAAGTTCAATCTTTGTAGAAACGCTGTTTTCACTTGTTTACATTTAGGACTATCGTGCTGTGATCGACAAGCTTCCGGAGGATGACAGACCGAGTTTCTTTGGTCTTCCTGCCAATGTAGCTCGCTCGTCGCAGCGCATGATCAGTTCTCAGGTAACCTGAGAAGAGAGGTGTTGTGTGGGGAAATGTTGCCACTGAACCTGAAAGAAACAACATGAAATTTGATTTAATACTTCAGACCCCACAAGCTGTTATTTAAAATTTTCATTTTATTTAACATGGTAGATTCAAGCTCTACATTAAATAAATTTTAAAAGAGCCAAAGAGTTCTATATTTAATACAATTGTTAGAGTTAGTAAAATAACATTGAATGCTATCACTTCCTCCAAAATATATTTATTTTACTTCCTGTGACTATTTTAAGGCAACATTTTTTTTAAGTTTTTTATTTTAATTCCAGTATTTTTAACACACAGTGTAATATTAGTTTCAGGTGTACAGTATAGTGATTCAACAATTCTGTACACCACCCGGTGCTCATCACAATAGGTGTGCTCCTTCATCCCCGTCCCCTGTTCCCCGATCCCCCTGCCCACCTCCCCTCTGGTCACCATCCGTGTGTTCTCTGTAGTTCAGAGTCTGTTTCTTGGTTTGCCTCTCATTTGTTGTTTTTTTTTTTTCCCTTAAATTCCACATCTGAGTGAAATAATATGGTATTTGTCTTTATCTGATTGAGTTGGTTTCCTTAGCATCATACTCTCTAGCTCCATCTACGTTGTTGCAAATGGCAAGATTTCATTCTTTTTTTATGACTAATATTCCATTGTATATATACCACATTCTCTTTATCTATTTATCAGTCGATGGACACTTGGGCTGTTTCCATAATTTGGCTGCTATAAAAACAGGGGTGCATGTATCCTTTCAAACTAGTATCTTTGTATTCTTTGGCTAAATACCCAGTAGTGCAGTTGCTGGATCATATGGTAGCTCTATTTTCAACTTTTTGAGGAACCTCCATACTGTTTTCCAGAGTGGTTGCACCAGCTTGCATTCCCACCAACAGTGTAGGAGGGTTCCCCTTTCTCCGCATCCCCGCCAACATCTGTCGTTTCCTGACTTGTTAATTTTAGCCATTCTGATTGGTGTGAGGTGGTATCTCATTGAGGTTTTGATTTGGATTTCCCTGATGCCGAGCAATGTTGAGCACTTTTTCATGTGTCTGTTGGCCATTTGGATGTCTTCTTGGAAAAATGTCTATTCATATCTTCTGCCCATTATTTAATTAGCTTCTTTGATTTTTGGGTATTGAGTTGTATAAGTTCTTTATAGATTTTGGATACTAACCCTTTATTGGTTATGTCATTTGCAAATATCTTCTCCGATTCCGTAGGTTGCCTTTTAGTTTTGTTGATTGTTTCCTTCTCTGTGCAGAAGCTTTTTACTCTGGTGCAGTCCCAATAGTTCATTTTTGCCCGGGGGGGAGGATTCTGTATTATGTGCGGGCCAGTCTGGGGCCACGGTGGGCTTGTGTTGAGTCAAGTCCAGAGTTCGCCCGAGATGCAGCGGTACCGGAGCGCAGGACAACGGTAAACCGTTACCAGACTCAAGAGTAGAGTTGTGTTGTCCCCTGAGAAACCGTCATGGGTGGGCAGTGTCCCCAGCAGACCAGCTGTCTGCCCCCAGCCTGCTGCTGGGGCTGCTGTCTGACCGGTGTGTGTGGCTCTCTTCCCTTCTCCCTGGGCCGGGGTCCCTTCGGAGGGGTGCTGGCCCCTGTCTGCGCCGCGGGCGCACTGCTAGCAGGTGGCACGTCTTCGGGAGGCTCCAGCCGAGGGCTCGGCACGGGAGAACTTGAGGGCGGGCCGCGGAATGCTAGCGAGGGGCCTGCAGCCCCTGAGGACCTCGGGCCGTGGGGGTGGACGGGTCGCATCTGCGGAAGCGCGGGGCGGGGCGGGCCCTGCTAGCGAGGGCTGCACCGGTGTCCCATGAGCGGTCTGGAGCCCAGGCGCACGAGAAGGCGGGTGCGGGCTGCACGGGGCGGGGCACGCTAGGCGGCGAGTTGTGTTGCTGCACTCGTGCCTGCGGCGGCCCCGTGTTGAGGCCGGGCGGCAGGCAGGGAAATGGTGCCCAGAGTGCTGCTTCTGTGCCGTCTCTCCCCAGGCCGTGGGCTGTGCTGTCTCTTCGAGGGTGGGGACTCTCGGGTCTCCCAGATCTGAGCTCTCTGGTTTTTAAAGTTCCAGGCGTCAAACTCCACTGATGGTAAGAATTCGCCAAGTTAGGCCCCTCTGGTTTTCAAAGCAAACTGTTAAGGGGATTGATTCCTCTTCCCTTTGTGGGTCCCCCTGCGTCTGGGGCACCTGGTGTGGGGTCTGCTCCTCTCCCCTCTCCGCGCCCCCACAGACGGTACCACGGTCCGTCTAGCTCCCGAGTCTTCGTGTGGCCTGCTCCCTGCATTTAGCTGCGGAGTCTGCTCTGCGGCTCCCGGTCGTTCCCTGGGTTATTTTCACTGATGAGGGAGGGTGTTACCCAGTTGTGTCTGTGGGACGAGGTGAGCTTGGGGCTCCTATTCCACCATCATCCCCGGAAGCTCTTCTCTGTTCTACTCTTGAGTCTGGTAAGGTTTACTGTTTTATCTTTTCCAGATCTTAGTTTTATTGATCTTTTCTATTTTTTAAAATCTGTATTTTTTAATTTTTGCTCTATATTATTTCTTTCTTCTAATTTGGAGCTTTGTTTATTGTTCCTTGTCTAGTTCCTTTAGGTGGAAAGTTAGATTTTTCCTGTTTCTTGAGGCCGGCCTGTGTCTCTCTAAATTTCCCTTCTAGAACTGCTTTTGCTGCTTCCCAAGCATTTCGAACCATTGCGTTTCCATTTTCATTTGTCTTGAGGTATTTTTTTGTTTTCTCTTGTCTTTCTTCATTGACACATTGGTTGTTTAGTAGCTTTGTGTTTTAGCCTCCGTGTGTTTATGGTTTTTTTTTTTTTTCCGGTTTTCTTAACTGTAATTGATTTTTAGTTTCTCATCATTGTGTTGGAAAGAGTGCTTGATATTATTTCAGTCTTCTTAAACTTACTGTGAAACTTCTTGTGTGTTTTAACATGTGGTCTGTTCTGGAGAATAAACCATGTTCATTTGAAAGGGATATGTGTTCTCCATTTTTGGAATGGAATATTCTCTTTATATCTGTTTGGTCCCTTGAAAGCGAGTGTCTCCTTACTGACTTTCTGTTTGAATGATCTATCCATTAATGTAAATGGGGTGTTAAATTCCTCTACTGTTACTGAATTACCATAAATACCATCCTTTGTGTCTGTCAGTATTTGCTTTATATATTCAGGTGCCTCCTATGTTGGGTACATAAATATTTACAGTTATTCTGGTTGGATTGATCCCTTTATCCTTATTTAATACCCTGCTTCGTCTCTTCTGTACAGTCTGTTTTAAAGTCTATATTGTCTGATCTAAGCATTGTTACTGACTTGTGGTTTTCTCTTCTATCTTCATGGATTATCTGTTTCAGTTCCTTCCACTCTGTGTTGTCTTTAGGTCTTTCAAGGGCAGTGTGTACATGGGTCTTGTATTCATTGTTGTTTTTGATCCAGATGCTCCATCTTTTGGCTGGAGCATTCCGTCCATTTCTGTTTAAGCTAGTTGTTGACAGTTGTGTACATGTTGCCGTTGTGTTGGGACAGTAGTTTCTCCGGGTGGGTGTCAGCTCCTGCGGAGTCTGCCTGCAAAGTGCGGTAAGACCGGAGTCCCCTGCAGGGGAGGCTGGTCACCCCTGGGCTGCCCACCAGCTGTGGCAGCTGGGAGGCACTTGGACGGTGCCTTCTAGGGCGGTGGAGTTGGGCGGGCCGGATGGTAGTGGGATGCCAGGGTGGGGCAGGGGTTCCGGTAGCCCCAGTGTCGGAATTGGTCTGGCCAGCTGGGCTGATGAGAGGAAAGAAAAGTGATGCTTGCTCACATCTTCTCTCCCAGAGAAAGCTCCTACAGGTTCCTGTCTCTCTGGCACAAGTCCTAAAATTAGGAAATCTCCTTCACTTACACCCTAGGCACTTTTTACTCTTTTGTTATTTTTAAAAATTTTTATTTTTTAATTTAAATTCAGTTAATTAACATAGAGTACTATTAGTTTCAGAGGTAGAATGTAGCGATTCATCCGTTGCATGTTACACCCAGTGCTCATGACATCACGCGCCCTCCTTCATGCCCGTCCCCCACTTACCCCATCCTCCCAACCCCCGTGCCCTGCAGCAACCCTCAGTCTGTTTCCTGGGCACTTTTTAAACTTCCCTTTGAAAAGGTGCTTGTGTGCTGGATCTCAGGCCTAATGATCTAGTGTGTTGGCCTCTGAAGAGCGGAGACTCTGCTTACTATAACCCTCCTGCTCTCCTGCTTGGTGAGCTCCCGGAGCCAGGCTCGGCGATTTTCATAGCCAGACGTGATGGGGGCTCTGGTTTCCAGTGCAGGTCCCTGAGACCGGGGGGCCCAAATTGAGGCTGGACCCCCTTCTCAGGGAGTGAATGTGTCCATGCTGGCCTGTGGCATCCCTCCTGCTTATGGGTCACCGCCTAGCCAGGGGTTGGTTCCCTACGGGCCTCCTTCCCTCCTGACCTCCTCTGTGTGGCCTTTTCTTGATGCCTTTAGCCACGGAAGACCTGGTCTGCCAGACTCAGGCAGTTTCCAGAGCGAGTTGCAGCACGTGTGGCCGTTGGCTCGGTGTGTCTGTAGGAGAAGGGAGCTCCGGACCCTCCCACGCTGTGCTCATCTTCCATAAATGAATGGCTGTCTGCCCAGATCTATGAAATCATTGAAATAGTCCTCAAGAAACAGTAGTTGCCCTTAGTTTCTGTGGTTCTGGAGGGATTCATGAAGTGCCGTTCTCTTCATCCTTCTCCATCTCTTGTTTTCTTGCATCAAAATTAAGCAAGAAGGGCCCTCTTCCCTGGGTGATGAAGGCAGAGTGCTAGCAGGGCCACCCAGACTCCTTCCCTGGGTCGGCACTGACTCACGGGACCGGAGGGTGCTCTTGTCACCGGGTAGATGCACTGCAGCATCAGAACTCTTCCCTGCTGGTGGCCAGGCTTGTGACCGCGGGAAGGCCATTGTGCTCAGCAGTGAGTTAGACTCAGGCATCGAGATGGGCGCAGG